ACAGTGCTTGGCCCCTACGCCTCACCCAAGAGCTTAAATTAATTTATGTAAGGGCAATTTTTGTTTTTTTTTTTTTGTTTTTAAGGCTAAAAACTTAGGGTTTTAGATTCATTTGAACCTTAAAACTTGTTGGAGCCAATTTTAGAGAGAGAGTCTCCAAAAATCTAGTTTTTGGTTAATTTTTTAAAATCGAATGGTTTGTTAACAAAAATTGATCAAAACATCACTCATTGATATTAGATTTACTTTTTGATGTTTTACAAAGTTATTAGGGGTTTTTTAGAAGATTTTGAGTATTTAGAACCGTCTTTGAGGTGGGAGTTTGAGGATTGAGCAATCAAACTCAAAGTAAGTAATTTTTTTATTGTTTTAGTAATTTACATTATTTTTAGATGTCTTCTTCGGGATCTAACTGGAGTGGGGATTTAAGTTAGAAATATGGCTATAACCTAGATCCTAATGATAAAAATGTGTAAATGCAAGTTTTGTGAAAATGATATAAAATGGGGCATAAACCGATTCAATAAACATCTTGCCAGTATCATGGGGATGTTATCCCATGTAAAAAGACTTATGGTGCTGTTAAAAAGGAAATAAACAATTTTTTGAATATAGTGAAAATGAAAAAAGATGAGAGATTTGCTCTATAGCAGATATTAAGTCTGGGGTTCGGGTCAATTTTGATGATGATGATAGTGATGAGGAAAGGGATGGATGTCAAGAGGTTAAGCAATTCATTATTAAGTGAAAGGGGAAGGGAGTTGTAATTGCTTCTGGTTCTGGGACTAAAAAGCCTCGGGTTAGAGGCCCTATGGATAGTTTTTTACCTCGATCTGACCTTAAAGTTGTATGAGAGAAAACAAAAAAGTAAACCACCATTGAAAATAGAATCAAGAAGGAAGAGAGATAGAGTTGCGTATTATCTTGCTACATGGATTTATAAGGCGGGCGTTCTTTTCAATACCGCTCGCTTAAACAGCTTCTATGATGTGATAGAGGCAGTTGGCCTTAGGATGAAACCCCTAACCCCATATGAACTTTCAAGGCCTTTTTTAAAAAAGCAGTGAGTGCTACGAAGGAAGCTGTAGAACTTAAGAAGGATGCATGGGCTCAGTATGTGGTTTCTATTATGACTAATGTTTGCAGTAATAGGAAAAGAAGTCAAATGAATTTGCTTGTAAATTGCCCTGTAGGAACTATCTTTTTTAGTTCTATTGATGCCTTTAATCATATCCATAATGTCCATTACATATTTCAAGTGATGGAGAAGGTAATCAAGGAAGTTGGGGAGCATCTTGTTGTACATGTTGTCACAGACAATGCTGCTCCTAATGTTGCTGCATCTAATTTATTGCGCATAGCTTATCCTAGAATCTTTTGGACTCCATGTGCATCACATTGTATAGACCTCATGCTTGAGGCTCTTGGCGGTTTAACCGAGATATCAGGTGTACTGAAGAAGGCCAAATTAGTTATAAATTTCATTTATAGCCATCATCTCCCCTTCAGCATGATGCGTACCTTTACAAAGAAGAAAGAGATTGTGAGGCTTGGAGTCACGAGATTTGCAACCTGGTACTTATGCCTAGATAGCATACATTCAATGAGAGTGCAGTTGCGACAAATGTTTATCTTAGATGCGTGGAGAGCATGCAAGTGGTCTAAGGATCATGTTAGGAAGAATGTGATATATATTATATTTTCTAAAGCTTTTTGAAGAGAGGTGAAGGGCGCTCTTAAGGTATTTTTTCCTCTTGTCAAAGTCTTTCGCATGGTTGATAGTGACAAGCCTTCTATGAGCTACATATATGATGCTATGGAGAAATGCAAAAGAGAGCCCAAAAGTTCAATGATGAAGAAAGCCACTACAAGCCTGTTTAGGAGATTATTGATGAGAAGTGGGATACGCAGCCACATCGGCCAATGCATGCAGCTGGTTATTATTTGAACCCAGTTTTCTTTTTATATTGACAAGGATATGCAAACAAATGACACAATTATGAATTGATTTAATGAGTGTGTAGAGGTGCTAGTTCCTAATCCTGATATGCATGATATTATATGTGCTGATGAGCTGATAAATTTAGAATTACTCATTAAAGCCTTTTGGAAGTCCAATGGCGATGAGGCAAAGGGCCAAAATTGATCCAGGTATTAATAATATTCTTAAGTTCATCAAATTCAAGTAATCAAGTAATTCTATTATTATTTATGATTTTATTATATATCTTTGTAGCCCATTGATGGAGCCAACATGGTTTTAGTTCTCCAAATTTATAAAAGTTGGCCACTTGGATCTTAAACCTGACTACTCATTCATCCGGTTGTGAGCGCAATTTGAGTACTTTTGAATGGGTAAGGCCGTAAGGGTAATTTGTATAATTTTATAAATAATACATGAACCCTAGAGATTGGATTTTAATTAGTTTTATTTGATTTTGTTAGATTCATAAAAAAATGAACAGGCTTTAATCAAAGAGGCTCAATGACCTAGTCTATGTCAAGTACAATCAATTATTGAATAACATGTTTGCTAAGAGAAATAAGAGAGACCTCATCAGATCAAAAAATATGGACCATGCTATGGAGTGATTAGTTGATGATGATGAGGTCGAGGGGCATGAAGGATTGACATAGGACATGGTCATGGATGCTTCAAGGACATCAGCTGACCCTCTTAGGGCCACTAGATCTTCTGCACAGAGAACAATGATGGAGGAAGAGGAGGAAGAAGAGGCTGATTCATAAAAGACAGAGGAGGATGGGGACGACCAATATGTCGAGAATAGTGACGACTCCTTCGACTCCGATGAATATGATGCCAATGTAGCTGACCTAAGATTTTCTGACGATGAATGAATGATGAATGTTGATTGTTGAATAATTATTAAACTTTGAACTTTGAATAAGTATTGTGTATTGAACTATTGAAGATTTTTTTGAATATTTAAGTATTACTTTCATAGTTTCATAATTCAATTTTATTTTTTTCCTCATGGTGGTGTACTGCAGTACTGATGTGAAACTATTTGATAACTTGATTTGATAATTTGGTTGGTTGTAAATTTTAAGTTTTAATTGGATATGGAGTATGAACCAACTTATGGATTATGGTTATGTTTATAGAGTGTGTGATAAATCCTAATATGTAATATAATTTGAATTATGTACTGCAATACATATAACTTATACTGACATAACTGCACTGCAGAATCTTTATTTGAATTCAACTGAGCCGTCCCGGTTCTGTGCCCCCACTTAGGTGCTGGGCTGACATAACTGCACTGCAGAATCCTTATTTGAATTCAACTGGGCCGCCCAGGTTCTGGGCGCCCACTTAGGTGCTGGGCGGCCTGGACCTCAGGCCACCCGCCTAGCGCTTTTTGAAACACTAGTAGTTGCAAAAGGCAGTCTAGCAATTGAAAAGGGCGGGTCCATCAATTGAAAATGGAGGTCCAACAATTCAAAAGAGCGATCCGGTAGTTACAAAGGGTGATCCGGCAATAAATGTTACTTGATTCCAAGGCTTCGGCACTATGTAAAAGACGGTTTGACAGTACTCAATTTCGGTCTAGTAGTTGTCTTAAGGCGGTCCGGCACTTGTATGCTCTAGCAATGTGATAGCGTGCTCCAGCAATAATCAATTTCGGTCTGATAATTGTGTTAGAGAGGTCTGACACGTGCTACTGGGTCCAAAAGTCAACATCAAATGTGACCAAATTGATTTTTATGTACGAGGACATTTTCATCTAAAAAAATGAATTTTTTTCCTTGGATGTATTTACATAGAAAGTTTGTTTTTGGAAAAAAAAAGTGTGAAAGAAAAAATTTGTTGGGGTAAGTTGCATAAAAAGTGTGATATTGGTTTTTTTTTTTTTTGTCCCATTTTTTATCCTCTTTAAGGTTATGAAATTTAGAGAGATTAGGATGTAAATGCGAGACGAAAGGTCAGAGAGATCCAGATTTAGATTTCGATAAGCTCCCCTGAGGGGACCCAGACTAGTCTATTTATAGAGAAAAATATCTCAAATCACATAATCGACAGGCGTCAAAAAGAATGTGTCACTAGGTTTAGTGCCCCCAGTGATGTGGCCTATGTCGCAGAGCAATCTTGGGGCAATCTTGCAATGCAGTTTCTATTTTCTAGGTATTTTCCAGACGTATCATATGCCCATTTTGGGTTTGTGCGTTTAGCTCTCTTTCCTCTTTTTTTTTTTTTTTTGAAACAGCGACGTATCATTGCACTTTAAACGGCAGCTATATCAGAGAATGAGCCAAATCACCATAAAGAGCGTCAGCAGTTACATGAGAGAATGTGCCAAGAGCTCTTACAATATAAAAAACAAAAAGGCCTACCTAAAACACTCAAATCTGAACCGAAGACACCTCATACTATTGCAGACCTCATATGCTCCCCTAGCCAACCCATGTAAAAACCAAGGAAAATCCACCTTCTTTAGCCACTTTAAAACATTCATTGAATCTCCACCACCTCTGGTGTATTAAACCTCTTTGCCAGTTTACGCCTTGAAGGACAGATTTTAGCTCAACCTACCCACAGGGCCATAATATTTGAGTAAAACACTGCCCAAATAATATCTCACAATACCACCCATGCCAGCGGGTCCCAGATTTTCCATTGAACTTCCATCAAAGTTTAATTTGATCCACCCATTCTGGACATTGCCAACTTCCCACCCTAGTTTCCTTCATACTCCTCTCCTTAATCAACACTGTAATTCCAACTTTTTCATTCAATTCAACCCCTAGTTTTTCAAAATCTTCAAAGCATCTCCTATTACCCTCTTTCCAAATCTCACACAGTAGAGCTGCTTTAACTTTCCAAATCAAAATTTCCTTTCTTACCAATTCCCCTTATTCCATTTCTCTCTCTCTCTCTC